AGAAAGAAACGGAATTTAAAATAATATCCTTGGGCCAGCCGAGTGGCGTGGTGGTTAAGAACTGGCTTGGGACGCCAGAAGGCCCCGGTTCGGATCCCACATATGAGGGCCAGTGACACTGCCCTCTACAGCTAAGATGCTGAACAACTGCTCAACCTGGAGCTGGGCTGCTGTGAGTCGCCGGCGACGGCGTAGGCTGCAGCCCCGGCGGCAGTGGGTTGCCATGGGCTACCGTATGTAGCCAGCAGCCAGCGTGAGTAGCCAGCAGCCAGCGTGAGCAGCCAGCAGCCGCCGTGAGCGGCCGTCCAGAAGCCGGCGACTGATCTGCCTCGCCCGGGAAGAGCGCAATGATGGTGCCAACTTGGGCCAGTGGAGCAACGTCCTCCACAACTAGACTGAAGAACAAAAGGACAGCAACTTGTCTGTTCCCCTTCCCCAATTCCCCAGCACTGTTCCCATCCCCCCAACTCCCCAATAAAAAATCTTAAAAAAAAAAATAATATCCTTCAGGCCGGCCGAGTGGCTCAGTTGGTTAAGAGCTCTGAGAAACAGCGTCGCCAGTTTGATTCCCACATGGGCCAGTGAGCTGCGCCTGAGCTGAGCTGCTGCTGAGCTGCCAAAAGGTGGCAGGATGGCTCAGCTGGTGAGAGCACATGCTCCTAACAACAAGGTTGCCTGTTTGAGATGGTGGGCTACGCCCACCCACAACTAAAGACTGAACTCAGCTCCTTGAGATCAGCTGACACCCGGATGGCTCAGTGTATAGAGCATGCACTCTTAACAACTAGGCTGCCAATTTGACTCCCGCATGGGATGGTGGCTACACCCACCAGCAACTAAGACTGAACTCAGCACCTTGAGCTGAGCTGCCGCCTGAATGGCTCAGTGGATAGAGCGTGCATTCTCAACAACGAGGCAGCTGGTTCGACTTGGTTTGACTCCCGCATGGGATGGTGGCTATGCCCACCTGCAACTAATGCAACACAGCACCTTGAGCTGAGCAGCACGACTGGACTTGGAGCTGAGCTAGCTGCGCCCTCCACAACTAAGATTGAAGAGAACTTGGCTGTTCCCCTTCCCCAATTCCCCAATAAAATCTTTAATATATATATATATATATATATATATATATATATATATATATTATCCTTGTGTATATTAAAATATGAAAAAAAATTTAAAATCTTTTTTAAATTTTGCAGCTCAGGATCCTACATTCATCACTCCTTTGATTTGAAGTTCCTTCTAACTCTCCGTGCACCTACCATTTAATTGATGCTTAAGTGCCACTTCCTCAACAGTCTGACCTGATCCCGTCTCGTAAGTCCTCTTGTTATGCTCCATCTGCACCCTGTGCTTTTCCTTCGTTACATTTGTCAGTTTTGTGATGAAGAATTTGATTATTTAATTGTTATTTCCTTCCCACACTTATGGTAACTAATTTTTTTAAGTGATTGCCGTGGGCCAAGTACTATGCTAAGGGCTCTATGAGATTATCTCATAATCATACTATATATGACGTACTGTTATTATCCCTGCTTCATAGAAAATTTAGGCTAAGAAAAGTGAAGTAACTGGTTTCAAATCACTTGATGAGGAGCAAAGTTAGGGTTCTAATTCAAGGGTCTGACTTCAGAAGCTCTCCTTTTGATTAGCCAATGCCCTACACATATTCAGGACTGGAGACCACCTGAGTGTCCTTGGCTCTTAGTAGGTGCTAAATAAATGTTGGCTGAAAGAAGAGATTTCTGGGGCCATATAATCATTCAAAATGGATCCATCTTTGAGATTTTGAATTTAGAGCTCCTTGCTCCAGCCAAAATCTCGAAACCAGTGTGTGTCGGTGATGTCTCGTTACTCCAGCCCACACACTTCAATATGCCATTCTTGACCTCTTACCAGCAGAAGGGCCAGGTCAACCCTCTACTCGGTGGTCCTCTGGATTCTCTCTCCTTCCAAGAGCTTCTAGTCTGGCAATCCCCAATAACTCCCCTCATTTTGAAAAAGTGGTTTTGCACTGACCAGGTATGTGACAAAATGGAAGTTACTCTTCCTCTCCATGGCTTAGTTTCTTCACTTGTAAAAAATAGGTAATATGAAGTCTTAGCAATGAGGTAGCATAAGTGAAAAACTCAGTCTAGTTCCTGACACATAGTAGGGATTCAATAAATATTAGTATTTATGCCTCAGTTCCCGGGTTACAGAGCTTTCTAGAGAATCTCAAAGTATCCCCCAAACCTAAACAATGATCCTTAATGGTGAACTCAATGCAACTGTGTTATCCTCTTCCATCTCCTTGTTGGCATGGATAACCATCAGATATCTATCTCTGGCTTTATCTTCCTCTAACTGCTTAATTCCTCCCCCTTCCCTTTAGATGTTAACTATCTGTAAATATTTCTACTTTTATAGCCTCTTAACGCAGCTTAAGCATCCCAGAAAACATTTTCTAAGTTCTTAGAGACAGAACATGCAAATAACCACCTGCAGCTAGCTGCAATTTACTGGAAAAAGCATGGGAGGCAGAATCCTCAATCTATCACTCACTGGGCAAGTCGCTTAACTTACTGAGTCACGGTTTCCTCATCTTAAATGGAAATAGTTAATTCCTCCACACAGAGTGTTATAAAGATGAAGTGAGATGGGGTATTTTTGAAAACAGTTCAATAATTATAATTTGTTCTTTTGTTCATTCATTCACTCATTCATTCATTCCTGATTGGTAGCTCTCGTAAGCTCCAGAAGGTTGAGGCATAAAATGGGGAAATGCGGAGCAAATATTGCACCTCATAGGTGAAGCTGACTAATCATTCTACAAAGCTGGATTTTACTTTCTACGTCATCTATTCATATTCTTCTTAGGCATGAAAACAAGCATCTTAACTGTGACACAGCCTACTAGTAATCTTAAACTTGGCATGAAATAATGATGCAATTAACACCAGTTTTTGATAACCAGTAGTAATTTAGGAAAATATTTAAGCAGAGCTGTATCAGAAAGAAGATCCCCTCATTAGTTAACATAAGGGGAAACACTGACTCTTAGAGCCAAAAGGCAGAGAGACTTGAATCCAACTCCCATGAGTTGGATTACCACAGTTGCCAGCTTTTGACCAATTAGGAGTAGTCATGTTGCTCTAGGGAAATGGAGAATCTCAACAAGTTAAAATATATCCCAGTATAAAGCTATAACTTAGAAGTGTGATGCAGATCCAAGAAAATACAGAACAATGAAGCAGTCCCTGGAGTTTGGCATAAGATGTGACATTTGAAATCAGCACAGAAAAGTGGGATGATTTAATAGTATTGGGACAACTAATTTATCAAGTTAAAATATATTATGAGTTGAATTATGTCCCCCAAGAAGATATGTTTCAGTCCTAACCCCTGGTACCAATGAATGTGATCTTATTTGGAAACAGTGTCTTGGCAGATCTAATAAAATTTAGATGAGGCCATACTGGATTAGTGTGGCCCTAACCCAAGACTAGTCTTTACAAAGAAAGCGATTTGGACAGACACACAAGGAAGAAAGCCATGTGACGAGAGACAGATTGGAATGCTGCAGCCATGAGTCAAGGAAGACCAGGATGGCCAGCAACCACCAGGAGCTAGGAAGAGGCAAAGGATCCTCCCCTAGAGCCTTACACAGAACCTGGCCTTGCCTCTGAATGGTGAGAGTAAACGTTTGTTTTAAGCCACCCAAGGTTGTGGTGATTTATTATGGCAGCCCTAGAAACTAAAACAATAAAGCTGGATCCGTATCTCCTTATATGAAAAAAAAATATCTAGATGAATTTTAAAGAATTAAATGTAGAAATGAAACAAACAATGGCCCCCAAATATAGAAAACATGGGTGAAAATGTGTATCTTCTTAGGAAAGGGTTTTTACGAATGGAAAAGATGAACAAATTTGACCTTATAAACATCTGTGTGGTTAAGAGGCTTATTCAAAAGGCAAGGAATTATAAACTGTGTATCTCATGAAAAAGAATAGTCAATTAAAAAGACATAAACAGCCCAGAAATAAATGAACAGAGGACAAGATCAGTCAAGTCACAAAAGAAAAAAATACCTTATAAAATACGCTCAACTTTACTAAAGAAATGCAAATGAACTATTAAAATGGTTTACCTGTAAGACAGGGAGAGATTAAAAAGACTGGTATCAAGATAAAAAGGCAGGTACTCCATTCACATTTGGCAGTAAAACCTATTAGGCACCATTCTTTTGTTGAAGTAACTTTACTATTTCAATTATTTTCGTATTTTTGTTCTCTTCTCATTTTAATGTGTCCAAATTTTCAATTGTCTTAAGGGTTTTTTAGTTTTCCAGAATAAGGATATGTAAAGGATATATATTTTTACTACATATGGTATGTACTCGCATCAGTTAAAAAAGTAATTGACAAGATATTGTCCCCCAAATAAGTGAGTATACTAGTTTTACTGATATTACCAGTATTTGATATTTTTTCCCACTAATAAAATAGTACCTCATTTTAACTTGCACTTTTAAGTGAGCAATATTTTTCCATGTTTTATTTACTCACATCAGTTGTATTTAAATGTTTTTTGTCAGTTAATTTGAATCTTAAAATTTCTATCCTCTTCATAAGTCCCAGGAATTCCTTGTATAACATAGAGATTAGGTCTTGGTTTGCCTCTCGAGAATTCGCTCGTCATACTACATGCTTCTCAGGGCTCCCTCACCCACTCCTACCATTTTGAGCACCATTTTTATGCTAGAGGCTCAATCCACACGCTCTACAGAGAAATCTGCTTTTTTCCCCAAACAGCTTGGAACAGTGGTCTGCACACTGGGTCACAAATATTGAAATACAGACATAAAAGGACCATTTTTAAAGATGAGGTTATTTTTAGAACTGTTTATATATATGAATAATTAGAAAATGATTCTATAGCATTAAAGCATGGAAACAAAAAAATATAAATATTTGAGTTAACTGCCTGAGTGCTTGAATAAATGAACACAAAAATGAATTTTAATAATTCTTTATTTAAAAATCTTAATGCAATGTCCCGTAAAAAATATATACATGTTTCTATTTACATACTCTATTAATTCTATTGGTTTGAATTCGATTTTAAATGCAATTTGAAAAGCTTTCAGGATTTTTTCTGAAGGCGATCATTTAAAAATACTATATATACATACGTTTACAAAAAAAACAAAAAAAACAAACCAAGACATATGGAGGCATAGAAAAGAAAAAGTCCAATTTATCTCCTGAAGTGGTTAGAAAGGACCCTGGGGTGTCACCCACTATCACAGGAAGCCGCGTTTTCACTGGTACTGCTAACCTATCTATATAGAAAGGTTCATATGCGACAACAGTTTGTTTTTTAAAAAGTGATTGCAGTTTTCAGGCCACATGCAACAGTGCCAAACAGGTTCGTTACACTTTTACCTAAATCAAGGTACTGCATTTGGTTAATATCAATGGAGATACCATTTCTGAAAATGTGATCTTTTCATGAAATCGAAGCAGAAAAACTGTTCAGGACAAGCAGATCCTTCAAGTTAGCTGATCTTATGAAAGCTCTTTGGAATCGGCTGTGACTCTATAACCAATCAAGGACTCCTTACCACCTTCGTCCACGAGCAGATCCACTAACACGTGTGGTTTATCATACCCAAAGGAGGTGGTAGCATTTCTCAGCAGGCCAGACTCCTGTCCTCCTGAGTCAGATGAGCTGTCCGATTCTTGAAGGCCACTATCAGAACCATTTCTGGAGTGATAAGAATTTAGAGCAACGCTGCTGGGTTCAGACTGGTTACTACTTGAGTGGACACAATCCTCTTTGACGGCTGGAGTCAGGGGGCTGCCAGGGACCATGTCAGAAGTATTTTCTTCAATGGTCACCACTTCTGTTTCACTAGAAAGATCTCTGTCTTCTACTTTTGCTGGATTGTCCTCAGTATGCGTACTTGAAATTGTTGCTGGCGACAACTGCTCTTCCCAGATCACCTTCTTCTCATTTTCAGAGACAATTGCTTCATAGGTGATGGGTGATACATATTTTGATTCCAATTTTGCCTCTGAAGAGGAATTTTTTACAACAGACAGCTAAGGGAAGAGAAATCAATGATAAAAATAAATTACTAAACATAAGTGCCTATTCTTAAAAAAAAGGGAGTCTAAGGCTAATAATGAACAACCAAATATATCACTAAATGGTATACTTAAGATAACAGTATACTATTTTAAGATTAAAAAAGGGATTTTTATGTCAGATGGGTACTAGGTTTCTCCAGGTGATCACTTCAAAAGTTATACAAATGTCTAAGCACTATGTTGTACACCTGAAACTAATATTATATTGTATGTCAACCGTAATTAAAAATAACATTATAAAAAAAAAACCCACAAGCATTTTTTAAAAAGTACTATCTCACCAATATGTTGCTTTTTATGCATTACCTTTCACATATATGCATGTTACACTTGTAATGGGAGTACAGCTACTTATTTTATACAATAATTTTACCATTTGCCTTCATAATTATCATTTTCATTGGCTCATTATTGCTTTACACTGATGATTAAATAATTTTTCTAACAGTACATGTTAAAATGTTATCAATTTTTACTATTGGGTTGTCAGAAAAGTCATGACGCATTTTTGCATGAAGAACAGAAAAAATATGTCATGACTTTTCTGACAACCCAATATTTACCTAACATGCTGAAAGAAAATATTCTTACATATCTGTTTATTTATGAAACTATTTTTTTAGAATAAATTCTGAAGGGTGGAATGACTAAGTCCAAGTGTGAGGCATGTTAAAGGAACTACGATGCTGTATGCTCATCGTATGCTTATCTTCCTACCCAGAGCTACAGGACTTTTTACCAAATAGTTTTTACCAAAAAATAGTAGTTTTACTACTATTAATACTCCTGAATATTCAAGTTTATTTTTCTTTCTCTAGTGGGTGTAAAGTGACATAATGCAAGGTTGCTCTGTGCTTAATTAGCAGTGAGGAAGAATAATATAATTCATATGTAAATTGCCTACTAATTGTTGCTAGTTCTTATCCACTTTACTGAAATATAGCATATTCGTAACAAATTTAAATGTGCCCTTTGCATATCAGATATTATTCCTATCATATCTGATTCAAAGAGCTACCATTCTCTTACCCTTTAACTGTTCTTTTCATCACACAAAGGCTTTTAAATGTCAGACATTCAAATGTCAAACTTCTAGTTAGTCTCACTTTTGGCCATCTTTCCTTCTACACTCCAACCATGTTTTTGTATTTGCAGATTTTCAAAAGCCATGCTTTCTGGATGCTGGACCTCAGCACACACCATCCTTAAGTACCTGGATGAACCACTATCTGACCCTCAACACTACTCAGGCATCACAGCCTCTGGAAAAGACACAATCGACTCCCACCTACCAAAGTGGACAAGTCCTCACTGGCATGTAGACAAACCTCTGTTTTTGAACCTATGACACCGTACACCCACTGAATACTTATATTTTTCTCCCGCTAGACTTTTAGCTCCATAACAGACTTGCCTAACTGTGCTTCTGCCACATGCATAAAAACGTACCTGGTGCTTAGTAAAAATATGTGGTGTTGCATGTGCAGTAGATTGAGACTTATGTAGGTGACATGGTGCTGAACATCGTTCTACTTTTAAAGAGAATTTTTTTTCTAAGCTGAGCCATCTTGCCACCTGTTGGCAGCTCAGCGGCAGCTCAGCTCGGGCCATGAATCGAACCGGCGACCCTGTTGCTCAGAACTCTCACGCTTGAGCGAACTCTTAACCAACTGAGCCACTGGGACGGCCCCGAGAAATTTTAACAAACTATCAAAAAGTTTCAAATTAGCATTTGTGTGTATATAATTAAAGAAATGTATTTAAATACATTACCAATGACTTGGGTAACATGATGTTTTCTTTCTTACATGAATTCATCTTCTTCATGTTACAACATAAAACTACCAGGCTAACTACTACAAAGAGTAGGCAAGCGGTACCAACTGGAATCCAAACAGAATCTAAGAGAAGGGAAAATCACAAATTAGAATTAAGATAGACTACGACTGTATCCATCAACTACTTATAAAGTTAGCTTAGAGCTATTCTTTAATAGATTTACATATCAGGTAATTAACATGGTCAGAGTGTTAAGGACACTGACACAGAAGTCAGGAAAGAGGGGTACAAACTCAGGTCCCTGTCCTAGGTGGCAACATGATTCCTCCCGGCTCCATAATTCTAGACTTTCTTCGACTATACTTTCATGACACAATGTGATTAATAGCGTTTTCCTAACAATTTTCTTACAGCCCAAATATAGGGTGTTTCCAGAGATATGCTTTTCTCTCATTTAAAGAGGCAAAGTAAGAATTTTTAAAATACATCTCATTAGAAATAAATACTAGCAATGTCTGTACCTCTTAATATAATGTAGTCTTACTCTTCAGAATTTTGTTACATTTTATATTTCAAGATTATAAATGTTTACAAGATACACAGATGTACACATATGCACACACGGAGGAAAGTTGCACAGGAATAAAGTCCCTTTGACTGCAAACCGGATATAAAGAATAATGTAAAATAGGGAAGAGTGTTTCAGAGCACATACATCTAGAGTCACTGTTGTGTGCATTTGTCTCTAATGCTGCTTTTCCTTTTCATAAGCCAATCTTCAGTACTTTTTTTCGTAGTCATCTCTTCCAAATCAATAGTACCCAACATATAGTGGTGGTGTTTGGCCTCCATTCACGGCATTTCATTACCTTTAATTTCTATTCCAAAGTTACTTCTTTGGAATAGTAATTATGGAAGTTACTACTAAATGAATGCTTTTATCACACCTGTTACAGGATGTGGAAACAAATTATTACAGTAATAAGTTAAAACTAAGTACATAACTAAACCCATATTGGGCTTAAATGCAGGCAGGGAAGGCTGTTATGAACCACTGTGGTCCCACCGTGTGGCCACAATATTAACCCAAGTTATAATTCAGGATTTTTGGTTTTTTTTAAGTAAATCTGGGCATTTGCATTATTGTCAAAATTTTGTGTATTTTAAGATTTTGTTTTTCAAAATAGCATAATGAAAACTGGCACAAAATGCATTGCATTATTTTAAGTCACCTATGTGAAACTCTCATAATGGCCAACAGTTATTAGTATTAAATTTTAGGTGTTTAGTCTGATTGTTCAGCCTATATTTCCATTCTTCAAAAAGACATGTGTACCATACAATGTTTGTACTTTAACCTAGGAAATACATTCTAAAAACATCCTAGCAATTGAAAAAATATATATACATACAAAGACAGTCATCATAGCATGATTTATCTTAGAGAAACATGTATATTATATAAATAATCTAGAAGTCTAAAAATTGAGAACAGTCAATAGAATACAATCTGCATGATGAAATATTCTACATACATTAAAAAGTAGTATTAATAAATTATGTGAAATAATATGGAAAAATATTTATAACATATGTTTAAAGCAGTATAAAATTATACATACATCATGACCATGGCTATGCAGAAAAAAAGAGAAAAACAGGATGGGGGAAAAAAGCACCAAACAGTGAGTAATATTTGTTTGGCTGGCAGAACTACAAATAATTTTGTTTTCTTCTGTCTTTTTATATTTTACAAATTACCTATAATGAACATTTAAATTTCAAAACTTCAAAGGCCCAAATTTTTGTTACAGTACCTGACAATTGAGAATGCCAGTTCTAAAGATAAAGATCTATCACACAAAGAAAAGATGATTAAATAAATTCTAACATGTTGTAAAAGTGAGCTTATAGTCATTATTTAAACCAATCTATATTTATTTTTGAATATTAATTTCTAGTGCTTGTCCAGTCCATGTCACACAATTTTAATCAACATTCCTGCTATTCAGTTTTTAGGCTTAATGTTCCCACAAAGAACATCTCAATGAATATGTAACATCTTGCTATACTGAAGTAATAAATTGACTCATATCGTGCATAATCCTGAAATGCAGGCATTTATGCAGAGTTTTTACATGTTATTTTTTTTTCCTGTGTCAAAAGGTATATCACATGGCTTTACAAATTGGTTGTCTTATATCTTAATGCGGGAAAAATGGTCTTATTTTTAATTTTGAACTTCTCTGCAGAATGGAACTATTTTTAAGAGAGCAGAGTTTTACTGAAATTGCAAACTGCCTCTTTTCACATTACCCTATGTTAGTTTCCACTTTCTATACTTAGGAACAAATGGCAAGAACTTACCTGTATTGCTCTCATGACTGTGAGTGGTAATACAGACTTCTTTGGATTTTTTAGTTGTAACATGCCATCTCTCTGAGAACCCGTCTGCTGTAATACAGTGCTCAGCATTCAGTGAGGACACTAAAATACTTAGGTGGCACTTAGTCTCGTTGCAATCATCTTCCTGATTTATGGTATGTGTACGTGTGATCTGTATGGGAGAAAAAAAAACAAAACACATGAAAATGCATGACTCCTTTTAATCTGCAAAAAAAAAATCACATTTAGAGGGGTCAAACACCTTTAGAAAATGTACATATGATGAATGTTGAACATGTTGAAAATAGTGTTGACATCATAATGCTATATATCCATTAAAATGTTCTTTATAGGGATAAATTTAAAAACTCAAATAGCAGGAATGTTCACTGTTAGTTGTTAAGTCAACAAATATTCACTAGTCCTATTTCTATAGTGCTAGAAACTTAGCTGGTGAGAGATAAAAGCATCTTATATGAAGAATAATAAAGGTATTATGCAAAGGCTGTAGAATCTCTTGGCAGTAAGCCATAGAAGGGATTGAAGCAACCTCTGGGATTTTATCATTCCTTCAAACAGCCAAAGTGCGTGGATCACCTGTGCTAGCGCCTGAAGACAGAGGCAGGACAGTGGTGCCTGCCCTCCAATAACTTATTGTACGGTATAGAAGACACATAAGAGAAATGTTAGAGAGTAATGACTACTGCAAGAGGACTATTATAGGGAATTAATATCTAGACCTTAGAGGAGGAAATAGTCTACTGTGTCAGAAAGGAATTCAAAGGGGAGATGATACGCCACTTGAACACTAAAGGAGTAGAAATTTGCCAAAGGAGAAAGCTGGAGAAGGACATTCTATGAAAGAGCATGTTACGTGCAGGGAACTAAGAACAGCAGGCAGTTCACTAAAGCATGAATAAAAATAAGGTTGGAAGGAATGAGGACATAGGTAGCTGGGAAGGATTCAAGAGGCCCATTCATGAAGGCCTTGTAGGCCAAGCCATGAAAGAGAATTTAGATACCATTTTGTAGCTGATGGGGATTTGTTAACGGATTTTAAGCAGAGAAGTAACACAGATAGGTTTGCACTTTAGAAAGACAATTCTGCTAGCAACAAAAGTGATGTTTTAAAACCTGAATCAGATGTCACTCTTCTGCTTAAATTTTTCCCGGGGTGCAACATCTCACTCAGAATAAATGTCAAATACCTCCAATGCCCAAGACATGTGGCCCCAGTGACCTCTGACCTCACTGCTTCCACTCTGTGCAACTCTGCTGCTCCCTTCACATGCCCAGTGTCCCTTTGCTATGGTTTTCCCCAAAACACTCCTCCATCGTTATCCATGGAGCTCACCTCCTCCAGCCCTGGTTCCAGTACCACCTTCCCAGTGAGGCCTGCTCTGACCACCCTACTGAGATCCTGCTGTCCCAACCCCGCCCCCGCTCCCTCTTCCCGGCTTTGTTTTTGTCCACAGCAGTCATCACCGGAGATTTGTCTGTAGTGTTCACTGCTCTCTCCTGTGGCAGAAGGCACAGAGCACAAGCTTGACAAATATTGCTAAATAAAGGAATGGCACCACTATGGAGAATGGATGGAATAGAATAGTACTAATCAAAGCGTGGTCTGCACAACGGTGCCAGAATGGAATTATATCCCTACAGTAGCACTATTAGCTTTTTCTTTGAAAAACAATGACTCCAATTAGAGCTTCGTATTATTTTACATTACTACCAATGAGGAAGAAACAGATTAAAATTATCCTCATCTTACAAGTGGATAAATGAAAATATACAGGTTAAAATCTGTATATTAGGGCCATGCTGCTAAACAAGACAAAGAAAAAACTTAAATGTGCTCACATGGCCAGGGTTAGTGATAAACACCAACACTAATTCCCTTCAAAAGCATTCATCTATTTCTTTTTTTCTTTTGTACCAAAACTTAGGATCCATGAGTCTTCCCTGAATAGTCATAAGCATTCTATTGTCTTACACTAAATGCAGAAAGAACATATGCTAGCAACAGAAAAATTTCCATTGTGAAAAACATGAAATAGACGCATACCTCACTTCCACTTATTCTCTCATACACTCTGTACATGAATAAATAACAAGTATTCTCTTCATCATATATGGTTCCCAGCTCTTGTCCATCTATAACAACTGAAGGATGAAATATATCAATAATGATTTGGTCTTCCTTCTGTCTGACTTCCAGGTTAGGTGGTCCAACTTTCCCTGCGGAGGGGGGACAAAAAAGAAGTAAAGTTAGTACTGGCCCTGGAACTTGATAGTACATTTTACAAATTACGAAACTCCATCAACTTACTCTATTTGTTGTTGGTTTTCTAAAGAAGAACCACATTTAAGCCATTCCAAAGAGATCGAGAGGATATTCTATGGGTTCTTAATAAAGAAACACTAAATAAATCTCCTCAGGCAAATATTATTATCTAATATAAACTCCTCTTTAACACTTTAAATTCATTTCTAGTCCTCAAGAAAAATAGCTGGTCATGAAATACTGGTAAAAACCTTGACATAACAGAAACTCAAGTAAGTTATTTTTTCCTTTTTCTTTGGTTCTGTAGTTTTAAAAAACAAAAACCAAAAACAGCTTTCTAAGAAATGTTTCAGAAAAGGCTTTTTAGTTATCTTTGAACCCTCACCGAAACTCTTTGTATCTCCAACACCTATGGATGTTGCTAAATACATTAAATTTTTACTGTGAAAATCAGAACTAGATATTTATTCATTCACCAAATATTTATTACGTGTCTTTGATGTTTGGCACTTTGTTGGTGAAACATCTACCTATTCTTCACATATTTATTGCATCTCTGCCATGTGCCAGGCAGGTCGGTTTTTACTCCCCAATGTGTCCTTGGGGCCTAACATACGTTCTGGCACGTAGCGTGCCTTTGACAAATCCATCTGGGAGAAATCTGACATGCAGATGGCATAGTTATCAGATGACAAAGGTGTGAACTCTGGGGAATAAAACTATTTCAAAGGCAAGTACAGAAAGGGCTGTGGAAGAGACCCAGCAGGCGCAATCTGAAAGCAGGAGAACAAGGCAGTGGTTGAAGGAAGGAGGCAAGAAGCTGAACAAGAAAGGAAGTGAAGCTGGAAGACAAGGCACTGAAGGACTAGAAGCCTAGGGAGGTGATTAAAGGCACTTTTACCCAGGAATGAGGGAATGAGGGCTGCAAGGTAGGATGTTCCTCAGAAAAGACCAATTGGCACTGAAGATCCGAGAGCGTGAGGAGATAACAAAGATCAGGTATATATGGGAATGGGGGGCTGGAAGTGTGTAGAGCTGAAATTCACTGGGGTTGAAGAGATTACGGAAATCTAAAACTGTTTTAATGTATGAAATTGGGATTAAAATTCTCTCTGGCCTTGAAGACTTAAGGCAGACAGGAAGAATGAGAGCAGCTGCCAAAGTCCTCAGTGAACGTGACTTAGAAAGAAATGACAGACAAGACACGGAGGCGAAGGGTATGCGGAGTCGAGCTGCACAGCACTAATCCATATTTATATGGAGCGGAAGTGGAACGAGCTAGTAGGGCCAAAGCGATGGGCACCTCTTAGCCTCATTTTGTGGGGCTTGGGAGATGAGGAAGACGAACTCCCTCAATTCTTCCAAATGCTTCTTGGGCATTGTAATAATTTCTAACAACTGTTAATAAAAGCAAATATATACAGCAGACATGTGTAAGTATTTTCAAATTCAAAATTTAGATATGTATAGATTCTACTCACCGTCTTTGCACAAAATAAATTCTTTTGACTCTGCATAGGCCGATTCTTCCTGTCCAAGCCTAGCTTTAACTCTGGCCCATAGACCACTTGATGGATCATCAGTCATGGAAAAGATATTACAACTATGATGAGAAGTATTGCAGGCATCAATCCATAGTCCCTTCCTAAAATGAAGAGGAATAAAGAAACACAAAGGTAACTGTTATTAGTCTATAAACTTTATGAATCGTCTCTGTCTATGCTCTGCTTTTCATTCATAGCATGCAGCTGGTAGAAGGAGCTGAATAAGAATAGATGGAGAAGCTAGACAAAGTAGGAAGTCCTTACTTTGGTGACAAGTACTACAAATTCCTATACAATAAAGAGACTCAATTCAAATTATAAGACCTGTACGAACCACATTCCACACGTAATTTTTAAAATCTGCTCACTAAGCAATTTTACATTCTAGCAACATGATCACTACTTAATTACAGAATCTAACACATTACATATACACTATACAAAGAGCACATCATTACTTTTAATTCAGAAGTGTGAGCTCTATTTGCCGTGCATTAAAATATTGGAAATTAGAGATACTTGTCTACTTCAATTCTGACAGGAAAAAGAACTAACTGGCAGGAAGTATTCTGGAAATAACTAATTGTATCCTTAGGACTCCTGGAAGTCTGCAAGCAGTCCAGGAAATTTTGCCACATCGGAAGGTAGGATGATGGAAGAAAACACAGAACATTATAGAATATGCAAAGACCTAGAAAAAAACAGAATAAAAAGTATTGAAGAGTAACACTCACCCGTATGTCTTTACCTGTACAGTAAAAACAGGTATCTCTAGCATTTCCGGGTAATCCCAACGTACGTCAGAATTCAAGTTATAGGCCTCAATTTTAATATTGGTTGGTACAGGCACTGTAAGAGATTCAAAAAGTATAATGGACAATAGTAAGAAATTCACACTGACATGCGAAAACTTTATTATACGAAGCCATGTTAACCAAATATATATTTTGAAGAAAAGTAGAATTCACCAGAACAGACAACAAAATTGTTTAAGAGATTTCTAAAAATTAATTTTATTGAAAAGAGTTCTGATTCATTTTATTGGGTTGTGGGAAAAGTCATTTCGTATTTTTGCAACGAAAAACGTAGAAAAAATATGTCATGACTTTTCCGACAATCCAATAAATTGCTAAAACAACACTGTGATACAAGGAAATACAAGTGTAGTATAAGGCAATAAATTACTATAACGTTTTAGGAGTTTTTAAAATAAATGCACTGCCTGTTGTAGTAATAAACCTCAATTCATTTAATCACTAGAATTTTCGACATTTGATACCAAAGACTGTATTCAATGTCTAGAGAAGTGACTACACCAGGGATGGCTGATAGCACTTTAAAACCACCCAGGCTCTCAACCCTACCCCTAGTACTATTACACACTGTTAATACCTTTTCTATATAGCACAGGCATAGATGCCTAATGACTGGCTGAAGGATAGCCATCGGCCATTCCAGTTTCATCAACATTTGGCTCTCCGGGGTGTGCAGGGCTTTATACAAAACATGCCCAATGTTTCTTCTTGCCTTTGCTCTTTTAAACCATTTCAGAAAACGTTTGTTGATAAGAGAGTCACATGAGAGAACAGGCAGAGTCACTTTAATATTTTGTCATCAGACATCACTAAAACTGTAATCTGGTTATTACAAGTAGCCCTTTTCTCCCGACTCACTGTAAAAAGTTGTCTTCCACCACCCTTGGAAAGAGGACACACATACCATCTCTTCCTTCTCTTCCGCACCCCTTTCTCTCTTTCTCCCCACTTCCCTCCATTTTCTTCGTTATGAATGAACATGGAGGTATAGATACAGTTAGAGATATGACCCAAAATAGAAAACTCCAGTAAACATGATTTACTTATACAATGTAAATAAATGAATGACAATGTGGCCAAGGCTCAGTGGCTTCCAAACATTACTCATCCTCCTCCTCAAAAATTCTGAGAGCTAAAAGTACCTCAGATGATACCCCAGATGATAATGGTGGTCACTCATGTCTATATCAAGTGGGCTGTTCTAGTAAGAAAAATATTCCCTGGGTTGGACATTAAGAAATCGGCATTCTTTCCTGGTTATACTACTAAATCGTTATGTCAGATTTCCTCATCTGCTAAGTGAGGGGTTAATTTTTTTTTTTTTAAGCTGAGCCATCCTGCCACCTGTTGACAGCTCAGCGGCAGCTCAGCTCGGGCCAGGAATCGAACCGGCAACCTGTTGCTCAGAGCTTGTATTCTTCAGCGAGCTCTTAACCAACTGAGCCACTCAGCCAGCCCTAGGTGTGTATTTCACACACACAAGATATTTGCTTCCTTTTGAAGGAAACACCTACTCTGCAGGGTTCAGCAGGGTAGACTGAGGCTCTGTTAAAAGGCTTCCTTTTTCTATGGTATGTTTGCTCCTCAACCTCCTGAAACAGCCTAGTCTCAAACAGCTTACGGTCTATGGTTGAGGTGGACATAAAAGGCACCACACACCGATTCAATTCAACACTAATAGCAAATAATAACCACAGATAGAAACATAATTTTGCCACCATTTACGTAAGAAAGGCACGACGCTAAGAAAACTCAAGATGAATGTGAACTTCCTTCAGAAGACATTTCTTAATTTTAGCATCTTTTGCCTCTTCAGAGGCTGAGAATTTTCAAACCACCAGGTTCTGGTTTATTTTTGTTTAACAGTCCTTCCCTTGTCTACACCCTCAGGTCTTGCATTTACGAGAAGCAAGAAGAAACCACATGGCACCTTCAACACTTTGCTTGGAAACCTCCTTAGCTAGGCCATGCCGCTCACCAGGCACATTTCATAGTGTAGCCAAGCTTTCCGCCAGTACACAACAAGGATATGCCTTCCTCTAGTTTCCAATTATGACAAGTTTTTCCCTTCCTTTTAACCCCCTTTTAACAACTGATTCCCAACAGGAATGACTTTTTAACTGTATATACTCAATCTGAAATTCCTGTATTTAGGAAAAAGGCATGCAGAAGTCAATCTATATACTAGAATATAAAATAAAGTGCATTTATATTTAAGAGGTTACTAATTCATATATTATAAAACCACAGATTTTTGCATTAGATTAAATTTTAATGTGAATCAAACTATGTTTCTCATAATTTAAGTAAAAGCTTGACATGGTTAGAGTAGGACAAGGGCTTAAATCATAGCTTTCAAAGTAATCAAGATAGACAGGTGGCAGGAAGAGGTTCCAATGGATTATAGCAGACAGAAATTACTCCTAGATTTTAAATATTTACATCAAAGAATGTAACTTGTGGTTTTCATACTAACATTAGAGAAACTACATGGTTTTTACACATGTTCCTTGGTCATCTTTGCCAAAACTCACATGATAGACATGAGTAGTTTTCTCATTAAATTTCAGAATTTTGTAACCTCAAGTTCAAACTGTTACACAGTCAGATTAAAATAAGGGTTACAGCAAACTCCTATTCATAATGCATTTACCTTATGTAAATAAAAATATATGTATAAATATCAAGAAAGTACTATGCATGGAGTTTAAGGAAAGATCCTAGTAAAGTATCTCATGAAATAAAATAACGTCACAGATGTCCCATCTCTTTAAAATGCCCAGAAGGGTAGTTTTCTGTAACTCATGTTGTCTTTGGAAATGGGTTCAGTTATTTGGTGCATTATATCTTCAGACTGCCCAGAGTACACTTTAGCTATTTTAAAATTTGCTCCCCACAACTCCTCTAGAACTAGCAGCTGAGGAGTTAACAAAACCAAACACAGGAGAGAAGAATCAGTTTTTCACAACACTCAATTACAATGCAGAAAAAAAAAAAGAGTTCAGGTTACAGCCAACTGTTTCCTGGTGATAAACTAGAAGACAGGATATGAAAAAAGAGCAAAAGAGGGAACAGAAAATACTGATGTAGATTAGTAAGTAATGAAGCACTACCACTAGATGGAGCAGTGGGGCTGTCACAGGAACCAAAGCACAGCAGGAAGAACAGCTCTGTAGCAATTCCTGGAGGCCGGGCGGGGTGAGCAAACAGCTACAGGCATCTTCGGATTTACTCTGCATGGATGGTGACAGAAGTCAGGGGATAACTGCCCAAAGCACCTGTGCCTTTACTAAAAGAGGGACGGCCACAGGAGTTCTTCACGGATTTTGACACAAGAGCACACAAAGGCTGTCTAGAAGAGGGTACATCTATGGCAGAACAGAGAGCTTTGTACCCTGTAGACACCATGAGATTAGACAACCTGCTTACTAACCCCTCTACGGGAAGGACAAACTGAGTAGCAAAAAGAAGTGAGAATAAAGGAGCCAGCAGTTAAGTTGTTTCTGTGGATTCGAAATCACCTCATACCACAACTCAAAAACAAATGCGCCAAGTTAAAAGCATCCAGGGCCCTTCCTGAACAAAAGGCTCTCAGAGAAAAGATGTAACACCCTCCTCATGTTAAAGATGCAGGCCATGGGTATTTTCACAAAGGTTTCTTCTTAAACTACCTACTGAGGAATGTCATTAGAAATCCAGACAGAAAAGGGAAAAATATCAAATCCAGACTATAGCATTTTTTTCAGAATATATTTATGGTCACAATCTGCCTCCCTCCTGGTTTTACAGTATTGATAAAATGGCTATTTTTATTAATGCTTTCCAACTTTTTCTCTTAGCAAGTAGTAATGTCCTATAGATTTAAAATGAATAGAGACATTTGAAGAATTCTTGCACATGTTTCAAGTGTTCATAAAAGTTTTTTATCAACAAACTTTAAAATATTTGGGGGCTTTGAAATTTAGGAATATATCAATTTCTTCGTGAAAGTAATGGAAAACAGTCTATTTTCTACTTCCTTTTATTATTTTCTTTTTTTAATATTTCCATTGTTTTCTTTCCATTTTATTGGGATATAATTAACATACAGCATTGTATGAATTTAAGGTGTACAGCATAATGACCTTACATACACTGTGAACTGACAACTACAATGAGTTTAGTTAACATCCATCATCTCATATAGATACAAGAAGGACAAAAGAGAAAACAAATGTCTTTTTCCTTGTGATGGGAACTTCTGGGATCTAGTCTCTTAGCAATTTGTGAATATACTATATAGCAGTGTTAGCTATAGTCATCATGTTGTACACATTACATCCCCATATTTTTTTCTTGCACCTGCAGAAAAAGCTAGTTTCAGAACTAAGGGTTCGAGTGAGGACACCTAAAATGCTTCAGGTCTATTTTACTTTCTGTAGAATAGGTCCCCAGCTGGGTCAAGCCCCCTGGTATCCCCGCATTCTTCTCTTATTCCCATCTAATTTTGGGACCTGGTCTGGTTTTACCATGTCCTCTATCTCTTAAAATGTGGAGCCCAGAAGTGATGCAACAGATGTAAAGGAAATTCTTTCCTCTCTTTTTTAAGAGATGGGCATATGGAACAGTGGCTTATACTGAACTTGTAATTAACTAAAATCCCCCAGATCTTCACCCAAACCACCACCAAGTTAGGGCATATCCAATAAACATCTGCTCAACTACTTTACTGACCTGAAATGCAGGATTTTATTGTTGCTCCTGTTTATCCAATTTTATCTAGATGAGTTTGCTTGGCAAGGCAATAAATTCTAATTGGACCAAACCCACCCAGTCCCTGATAATAGTCACTTCTCAACACTTTGGACTAAGTCATTCTAAGTTGAGAAATACTTTAAGAACTATAAAAATAAAAGGCCATTCAGTCCATGGAAACAAAAAGGTGGAAAAAAAAGTTAGCTGATAGGCCTATTTAAATGTCTTATATTGATCAGCATGATTTTTGTTTTTTTTAAAAGTCCACAATATTTCTCATATATAAATAAAACAATTTAATATTTTAAAATATTTGTTAAAATAATGAGGTGCATTATAGAGTGATAATCACTAATATATATTAAACATTTGCTACAGGGCGAGGAATGCCCTCAACTATTTTATGCATTATCTCAGTTAAGCACCACAACCATGCTATGAAGTAGGTAATATTAAACATATTTTTACCAATGATAAAACGAAGGCTTACAGAAGTTATCTAAAGATTTAACAATATGTAAAGTTTTGTTGGTTTTAATTAAGAAAAACAGCTTAAATGTCATTTTTGTGGTAGTGTAATAAAATAAGGGGAAAATAACCTCCATATATAAATAGGAATTGGAGGAGAGTTAGCTTAAGATCGCGAGCTCTGAGCAACAAGGCCGTCCACCGGTTTGATTCCCACATGGGTCAATTAGCTGCGCCTGAACTGAGCTGCCAACAGGTGGCAGGATGGCTCAGCTGGTGAAAGCACATGCTCCTAGCAACAAGACTGCCTGTTCCATGGTGGGCTATGCCTGCCTGCAACTCAGACTGAACTCAGCACCTTGAGCTAAGCTGCTGCCCGGATGGCTCAGTGGATACAGCATGCACTCTTAACAGCAAGGCTGCCAGGTTGGACTCCCACATGCGATGGTGGCTATGACCACCCGCAACTAAAACTGTAACACAGCACCTTGAGCTTAGAGGCCACGAGCTGCCCACGAGAAGCCAGATGCGACTGGCACCCTCCACAACTAAGACTGAAGAACAACTTGGCTGGTCCCTCTCTCCAATTCCCCAATACTGTTCCCCTCAACCAATTCCCCAATTAAAAAAAAAAAGAATTGGAGATGATTGTTTTCTGATGACTTCACAAGCACCTGCTTCAAGTAATTTTGCCTGATTTATTATACTATCACAATTAAATCATGGCCACTAAAAAATTTGAAAAACATATGAAAGCAAATCATTTTTTGAGACATCCCATGGACATGATTAAAATGGATACCTCACATTAGGGTCACTATGTATTGGGATAATCTAAAATAAAGACAACTCCACGCCGGCTGAGTGGCGTGTTGGTTAAGAGCTGGATTGGGAACGCCAGCTCTGAGGAGCAGGGCCCTGGTTCGGATCCCACATATGAGGGCCAGTGACACTGCCCTCTACAGCTAAGATGGTGAACAACAGCTCGACCTGGGGCTGGGCTGCCGTGAGTGAGTTGCCAGTGATTGTGTAGGCTGCAGCGGCTACCGTGGGTGGCTGGCAGCTGCCGTGAGTGGCCCTCCAATGGCCTGCAAGCGACTGCCTCACCTGGGAAGAGCGCAATGATGGTGCCAACATGGGCCAGTGAAGCGACATCCTCCACAACTACACTGAACAACGAAAGGACAGCAACTTGTCTGTTCCCCTCCCCCAATTCCCCAATGCTGTTTCCCTCCCCCAAATCCCCAATAAAATCTTTAAAAAATAATAATAAAATAAAGACAATCCCTTAATAAGAAAATTACAACTAAAGTGATTCTTTCCTCTCAGGAACTCATTTAATTTTGCTTCAACTCTCATTCTGACTGTCCAATTAAAATGGAACCATTAATTATTCATCTAGTTCACACAACAAGTGCACTATTACTGTGTGCTGCCAAGTTTTACAAGACAGCTCTTTAAATGGGTTATTTTTTCTCTTCAATTCTTTAAGTGTTCTTTTATGGAGACCTGAAATGTGGAACTTTCAAAGTCCATATGAATCATGAATCAGAATAAAATGTAAAAGAAAATTATTATTAATACCTGTTCCATAAGTACAATTAAAATGCAGTCTTAAATATTTGGAATCTCTGAAATACATTTAAAAATCCAAAGAAGACAATGAAAAAATTAAACACACCCAGAGCATTATCCTAGATTCAGAGAATGAACAGAAGCACAGCTAAAAAAGCAGAGGTGAATTAAGAGCCCCACATCTGTGCTAAAGTACAGTTTACTCTTAAGAGAACACCCAGAGTGGGAGCGCAAACTGGACGAAGACAGCTACCAGCAGGCACTGATTCACATCCAAGTATATGCTACTTTTATATGTAAAAGTGTATGAAATGTGAATTATTAGATGGCACACATGTAGTATTTATTTTCCCTATCAATTCACTTAGGAAATATTAACAAAAACCCATAACTGTCATGCGATACATTCCCAGCCACTTGGATTTTTCAGAGACTGGCTATATTCCCTTGTCTGCTTCCCTGTTCCTACCAGGTCCCCTCAGCAAAGATGAACTTCCAAATACACAGTCAAACTCAGCACTAATAAGGGTTAACATGCTGAGTATGTATTAAGTGCCAGACACTGGGGAGACAGGGAAACTACCAGGAGCCAAAAGTAGGTTGTCCTTGTGGGTTTTCCTCCTACTATCTGGAGAATTTGCATTTTAAACTAACTTTAAAAGCATAGGGAACACAACAAAATCGAGAGAAATACACTGAAAAAAAGGACAGCAGGATTGCAAACACTTGTATTTACAAAATGCTGGCATACAGGAGGCCACAGGTGATCTTTCTATGGGGGACAGGCAGGCAATTCTACTCCCAGGGCCTGCTTCAAGGATGAGCAAATTGTGCAGTCACGAGACGCGCATGCTCAGAAGGGCCCTGTACTCACAAGGAAGAGCCTGGCACTTGCTTTAATGGTCTGCCTGAGCCAGGAACCTTAGTCATCATCCTCTTCTCTTCCACATCCCGTCAGTCACGGAGTCCTGCTAACAGCCTTCTAAATGTTCTTCAAACTATCCTCTTTTCTCCATGTAAACTGCCACTTCTCATCAACCCCTCCCAGACTTCAGCAGTGACCTAATTGGTCTCCTTCCTTTGATTCTATCCCCTAACCATTTTATAATGTGCATGGATTTTTTATAGGGAATATCTGATCCTGCATAAAGTCATTTCTCCTCTTCAAATAATCCAATGGCTGCCCACTGAGTTGAGCAAGGTATAGTGAGCATATTATTTTGTTGGTCAGCACCTGTATTTCGTTCAGGAACATTCTCTTCTTTTGGGAACTCAGCTACCACCGTCCCCTGCAATAATGTCCTTCCCATGTGAGCTGCACCTGACCCAAGATGGGAAAAATCAGAGCCTGCCCCTGGGATTTTGTTAGGGTGAAGGAAGTGCAAGATGTCAAAACCAAAAGTTGTCAACATCCATGATTCTTGCCAACTAGGGAAAGCTGTCAATGCTCAGGGAGTTAGTAGTAAGAAATGGAGAGTCTTGACAGTTTGACTTCTTGGTTCAGCTTCCTGATGCCCAACTGGCATCTCGAACTTTCTGTTTAACTCTTGCTTAGACTCTGAGCCAATCAATACCTTTTTGCCTAACTCACCCAAAGCTGTGCTTCTATCCTTTGTTGTTACACGTGACCATAACAAGGCACTTCACTGATTCCTACCTCTCCACCCATCCCCTTGTACCCACACACACATAGAATACAATAAAATGCTTAATACTCCACTAATTCAACATGCTGCTTCACACCTCTTCCTCTGCACACACAAGTCTCCTGCACCTTCTGTTCCAGCTCTCGGGTCATCTCGTCTTTCCTGGCTACTCTGGTCAGAGCCAGGCACCCGTATCTATTTTCTGGTAGCCTGTGCATAAGTTCCAGCTTTTATCACAATGTACTGCAACTGCCCTTGTGGATGACTAACTTGCACAACGGGCAGTTTACAGAGTGGTGAAGAACTTGGACTCTGGAGCCCACGTGCCAGGCTCCCCACACTGAGTACCAGCAACCTCACTACAAGTGGGGCGCACCTCTCTGCGCCTCAATGTCTTATCTAGAAATGGAGATACCAACAGTACCTACTTTATAGGGTTGTTGTGAAAACGAGAAGTGATGAGAACTTACAACAGTGCCTAGCACTTGATTGTTAGCTATATAATGGTCCTTGAATGCAAGTAGAAACTGAGGAACTCCCATTTTTGTATTCCCAACACCTGGTACAATGATTGTCCCCAGGAATGAGTGTTTGCTTGATTTTTAACCAGTAAGCCAAAGCAGAGGGAGCACACCTACCCAAAGCTCACGGAGGAAGTCATAACACAGAGCTTCAGACTCAGAGTTTGCCAAGGGTGATGGCGGTGCGGCCTCCCTGACCCATTCCAGGCGAGTGCTAGCTGTGGACACTGAGGAGACACGTTAAGACGGACAGGGCTTTTGATAATTTAGGTTTATCCCTCTTGTAGAAGGGGTTTACTTATTTTATTGGAGCTCCGAATCACCATTACACCGAGTTTCAGAAAAGCCTCTTCTCAGCATCTGATTCTGGGGAAATCTCAGTAAGCAGGCGGAAATAAAATGCTCCAAGAACTAAGCTATGTGAACAGACCCACCGCCTGCAAAATCCGCTCTTCACCACTTCAAGCCTTATCCGTAAGGTGGCCAATTACTGCCACTTAATTCTCAGCTGGCGAAAGAACAACTTTCCTCCCCTCCTAAGGATTTCGGGTCCACCTAAGAGGACAGTATTTAAGTCAGGAGCTCTGGCCACAGTGCACAAATGTTGACCAAGAAACTCACTCATTTAAAAATGAATAAAAAGAACGGGAGAACTGAGAAGCGTGTTTTGTTATTGCGGCAACCACGGAAGAGGCGAGAGAAAGGGAACTGCAGTGTGCCAACCGCGGAGACCCAGAGCCACCTTCCCGAGTGTGGCCCCCACAGGGCCCGACGCCCCGTCCAGGAACTCGGGCGTTCAGGGTGAACGCGGGTGCGGCCCCGCCGGGCGGGGCTTCCAGGCACCGGTGGCTTCCGCCCCACCCGCAGTCCCCACCGGCTGCGCGACCAAGCCGCAAGCGACAGTACCCGAGGACAGCTCCGGATCCGCGGCGCTGATCTCAGCCCTGCTCACAACCTGCATGACGAGGACGAGGAGGAGGAAAGCCATGCTGCTCCGGTGAGACTCGGCGGGCGGCCCCGCGCGAGATGCGTCCCCCTGCACGGCCCTTAGGCCTAGGCCTCGCGTCACTTCCGTCACCGCGTACCGGCGTTCCAGCGGGAAGAGGGGCGTGGACGGGAAAACGGGACGTGGAGAGTGAAGTCAAGACCTGGACGGGGAGGCGGGACTACGCCCAGGAGGCCGGAAGTGGTCAGGGAGGCGGGGCCAGGGCGGCAGGGAGGGGCCAGGGCGGGGACCTGGACGGGAGCGATGAGGCCGGACACACTGGGAAGCGGGCGCCGGCGCAGTCGCGGGAGGGGGCGCTGGAGCAAGAGTAGAAGGGCAGGAGAGGCCAGTTTCGAGGAAGCGTGGCGTTATGGTCGCGACAATCCGTGGTTGCGAACTGGGTCCACGTGTCTCTGAGAACTTGGTCCAGAGATTTACTTTGTTTCTACTTGGCAACACCTCTCGCGATTCTTCTATTTTTTAATTGTTCTGGGGTTGCAGAACTTTGCCCTAGGCCACAACCCAGCCACAATCATTTTATGCTGTTAAACTTCACCATCAAGAGCCTTTAAGTGCCTCCCCTAATCCCTGAATTTGTACTGAAGGAACCTGAAGCTTCACTAGTGAAATGGTTTGTGTAAACTTACACAGCACAAATCCAATTGGCTTGGCCAAGAACTACTTTTTTGCTTGGAGGAAAAACAACTTCTATTACCATTTCAGCAATTATATATCAAAGAGCAATTTATTAAGCAGCCTGTCTCCATGAGATCTGCCCTCTTTCATCTCTGACCACGTTACCTATTATTCCATATCTCTTCAATTCCACTCCAGCCACACGGAACGAGCATTGAACTAACCACCTCACCTGCTTTAAGTCTTTGCTTGTCATGCATGGCCTTTGGCAAAAATTTGAAATGGCGACCAGTCACTTTATCCTGCCTACTATTTTTTCATGGCACTTATCACTTTCCCCCACACTCTACAACAGGTATATTGATATTTATTCTTCCCCCCACCCCCCCACTCTGTAGAATGCAAACTTCCTAGGCCTGAAATGTTTGGCAATCCGTTAGTGTTTGTTGAATGAAAGAATGCATGATTACACTAGAATTAAGCAAAATTTTAGCGAGAAAAAAACCTCATGGAAATACTGTATAAACACAAGAGGAATTATTAGCTGAATCATTTTATTTATGGTAATAAGTCGTTTAGCTCAGTACTTCAATGTACAGGTGAACCACCTGGGGATCTTGTAAAAATGCAGATTCGGATTCAGTGGTCTGATTCAGGTTGGGGCTTGAGATGCTACATTTCTAACAACATAAACAAGGAATACCAATGCCTCTGGCTCTAGACCACACTTTGAATAGGAAGGCTTTAGCTCCATCTAAACTAAGTTTGGGGAAATGTCTTGTTTGATGTGTTTATGATGCCTACTATGTTAGTACATTCAGGCTGCTATAACAATATGTCATGGATTGGGTGGCTTATGCAAAACAGTTTTATTTCTCACAGTTTTTAAGGCTCGAAGTCTGAAATCTGGGTGCCATCATGGTCCAGTGACTGCTCCCTTATGGGTAGCAGACTTCCTCTTGTAACCTCACATGATGGAAGAGGAAGGGGTCTCTCTGAGTCTTCTTTTATAAGGCACTAATCCCATTTATGAGGATTCCCCCCTCATGACTTAAACACCTCCCAAAGGCCCCACCTCCTAATACCATTACATTTGGCAGTAAAATTTCAACATGTGAATTTTGGGGAGACATATTCAGACCTTCGCACTCACTATATGGAAGTCATCGTCTACTCGCTGTAAGGAGACACAGATAATAAGACCTGATCTGTGCTGTTTAGGAATTCATGGAGTAGGACAACAGAATATTCAAGTCAGTTCAGTAAACATTTTTATGGTAGCCATCGCAGGTTGGGTTACTCAGGAAGTAGAGTCTGAGGGGGAGATTAATTAGTGTGCAGGACATGCTCTTCTATTCTCTTGGGATTGACCTCTGTGAAGAGATGGAGGAAACAAGATTGAGCAGAGGGAGAAGTTGATCTGTGATGCCACTGCAACAAAGACTTCAGTAACCCCTTGGACTGGGATGGCCTTTTAGAGGTGTGTTGAATTAGTATGAATGTCTGCGCCTTCAACTGTTAGCATTGATTAGTCATTAGATGCATACCACTCCTGGCAGGGACATGATTTGCGGCTGTCCAGTTCTTTGAGGCATTCTCCAAAGAGTGCTGAGAGCTGAGGGTTTCTGCCAATAGCACTCCTAGTAGCAGGGAAGATGTGGGACTAAGCCTTCTGCCGAAGGGGGCTCTCTAGGCAGAGCTTTACAAGCAGCATCTGCCACAGTGGACTATCCTTTTGAGGCACTGTGCTAATCACTTGGAGACTAAAGGTATTTATTACTTCATGAAATATTATTGAGTGACACTCTGTGTGTCCAATATTACTATGCATTAAGATATAGACCTGAGCATGACAGATATGGCCCCTGCCCTCACGGAACTTACAGTCTACTGAGAGATTAAATAAGCATTAACCAGCCTATTACACAAAAGAGTACTGGAATTGTGGTAATGGTTATCAAAGAGAGCAATGGATTTATAGGAGCATGAAGAGGGACTTAGCTTAGTCTAAGATTTAAGGAAATTCTTAAGGCAGTTACAATGATGTTATGAGGTGAAATAAGGGAGATTAGCATGGATAAAGCTGGGGGTGGGTGGAGGGATCACAGGCTAGTAGGAGAGGCAGGAGGAATATAAATACAATTATATATATATATATACCTTACATAGCCACACAGGAGGCAAATGAGCAGTACCAGTTTCCAATGCCTAATGGCTTGAAAATATCCAAGTATATGTTGATCCGACTATATCCTCTGGTGAGTTTTTAAAACCAAAAAAACCAATGTGGGGTGAAGGGTGGATAATTCCAGAACCAAGTACAAACTGAAGTGCTTTTCAGGAGCAAGGCTATATTTTATAGGCCACACTGCACAGACTAGAGGAAAGAAGTTAATAAGCCAAATAAAATAATTTAAGAAATTAGAGCTATGATTGAATGAGAACAGAGGCTGTGTGTGCAGCACAAACTGTACACTTTTGTATCCTGGCTCTGTGCATTTCCTTCCCCTTTTCTCTAGAACAAAAATATCTGTCAGGGGCCGGCTGAGTGGCGCGTTGGCTAAGAGCTGGCTTGGGACGCCAGAGGGCCCTGGTTGGGATTCACATATGAAGGCCAGTGACACTGCCCTCTACAACTAAGATGCTGAACAATAGCTCAACCTGGAGCTGGCTGCTATGAGTCGCCCGCGACGGCAGGTGGGTTGCCATGGGCTACTGTGTGTAGCTAGCAGCCGCAGTGAGCAGCTGTCCAGAAGCCGGCGACTGATTTGTCTCGCCTGGGAAGAGTGCAGTGATGGTGCCAACTTGGGCCAGTGAAGCAACGTCCTCCACAACTAGACTGAAGAACAATAGGATAGCAACTTGTCTGTTCCCCTTCCCCCAATTCCACAATAAAAATAAAAAATAAATATCTGACAGTTTTCTGGTAAAGGAGAAAGATTGAAAAATTTGTGGCCAAAGCATTTAGTTCTGAATTATGATTATTCTATAAATTATAGTCAATACTTCCTTATCTTCTTACACTCTGCCCATGCCTCTACACTGTCTCTTTCTTAACTATGTTTTTACCTTAGCACTTATTACCATTCACAAATATGTATGTACTGAAATTGTGGTTAGCATTTTCGAAAGAGAACAACTGCACCTAGACAAGTACCTATCATTCCATGAATATCGAGTAAAGATTTAATATTTTGTAAAGAGTTCTAGTAGAAGGTTTGTCTTGGGTCACTGCCTAAGATAGATGCCACATGCAAGATAGTGACTGTGACAGACACTTTTTATTAGCTGACTGCTAATAACCTTTCTTCATATCCTCCTACCTTACTTCCTTCCTACTATAGAGATTATAAAAGCTCAATACTCACTTTCCTAATGTTCATGGCAGCTAAACATGGTCATATGACACAGTTCTGGCAATGAGACATAAGCAGAAGTGCCTGTGTGCATGTGCATGTGACAGATGCAACAAGAGAGCTTTCTGGCCTTGACTCTTCTCTAGTCTTCCTGCCTTAAGTGTAGACACATGCTTTCTGTATCTACAGCAGCCATCTTGCAACCATGAGGCAACATGATTGAAGATGAAAAACCAACAGCTAAATGGAAGAATAGAAAGATAGAAAGCCTGAGGTGTTGATATTAGCATTGAGCCACTGAACCAATATCTGCAACTACCTACCTCTGGAGTTTTGTTATAGGACAAAAAAATAAAGTCCTATTGATTTAAGCCATGGCCAGTTGAGTTTTCTGTTAATTGAACTGAATTTTTTTTCTTACTCAATGCCAGGCCAACCTAAATAAATTCAGAGAGCTGGAATGTAAACCACAGTAGAAGGGAAGATGACTGGAGAGAAGTGGGGAATGAAAAAAGGAGAAACAACAAACTCAAGGACAGAATGTAGAACCTTTGAATAATAAGTAAAGACCTCTTGTTGATGGGGAGAGCAAGAGGCCCAGGTCTTGGAGCTGCAGCAGCGCCTGGAGGCTTGGCAGCCTTGTGTGTACCTGAGCAGTGCTCCCTCACTGTGGCCTCTGAGGTCCAGCTCACTGTGACTGTGTCCTCTTCTGATTTTCCCTGCACGCCTTCACCAGAATCATTTGTCACTAAAGGTCATCGGAATGTCTGATCCTTGCAACTACAAGAACCTCCTAACATAATTTCTAGCCACGTGTCGTCAGTCTCCAAGGACAGCTACCATGTTCTTTTAGAAAACATTTCTCAACCTCACACAAAACGCTGGTCTAGATAAACTATTGCTGAAAAGAACCAAGAAATGTAAAGAAGCATACAATTTGTCTTCAGTGTCTCACACTTCCTCTTTCAGGACATCTTCCTCTCTCAGTGTTTTCCTTCACCACACCAATGCCCAGTGCCCTCTTGCTGTTTTGCAAGATACCCAGAGTCCTCTGACTTTGAGAACATACAACTGCCCTGGTTCACAAGAATTCAGCTTAAGGTTTCTCTCCTTCTTGATCTTTGATCATCATTTAAGTAAACGGTTCTATAATTTGCAGGCAGAAGC